GAAGGTCCCCCTAACAATGTTATCTCAGGAGATTCATCGAAACCAAGTTTCTCTTCGTATCTAAAATAAGCAATTAAGAAATAGTGATAGTGAAGGGATGATACGAGGATGTAGGATTGGTGATTAGCCTAGGGCGGAAGGAGAGATATGATCGGCTTCACTGGTCTCCTCGACGAGTTGTACTTTAATGCTAAGAATGGCAAAACTCACAGTCGATGCCTGCGAAACGTCTGTGAATATACCACGTCCGCGGTCCGACTCTGGAAATGATCATGCATACAATGGACTACGGACTAGGTGTGTTCCTCTAAGTCTTCCTACCAATATGACCGAGTTGCGAAAACAAGAGCAAGCAACGTGTATACAACGAAAAGAGACCGCGACCATACAAAAGGCCACACCATCTTGGTCTTCATGCCTTCGATCATACTCACGAAGTTGACTGAAGCCGGGCCTGAGAAAATCTACCTTCGGAGTGAACTAAGCAAACAGACGTTGTCTGTTTTTGTTTGCTTCCAAAACAGCATTGAAAGTCGCCTTCACTTTTGCAACTCTCATAACCACGAACTGTCTACACCTTCGGTATTTGCATTATAGTCTAACCGAATAAGCCTTCGAATGAATGGCACACGACCCCATTTTTATTTGTCAGCTGACCACTTAGTCTAAACAAATTCACACAAGTGAGGCTATTGCCTAACTATGAAATTAATTTATTCTAAAATGTTCACTGAGACTTGGTAGGCACTAACAGTAATTGTAGAGTAAGAATGCTATCACTCTAGACTGCCCTATCAGTAGATCTCCCGATGCCATTGAGTGTACCTCAGGCTTGCTTCACTAAAGGCATTCTAGTTGCGGATGGACGGCCTCAGCGCCACATCCGCATCCCAAAAGGGAATTGAACTCGGGTAGAAAGTGAGTGTGTGCACTATCGTCACGCTACTGCTCGGTCAGACTGCCCCAACCGCTTGCGAGGCAGGTCAGGCTGATTCAATATCACATTTATGGTAAGTAGGCTTGCCTATAAGGCAAACTTTCACCTTATGAGATGCATATGAGATTTATTCATACTATTTCGGAATGATAGTTGAATTTTTCCACAATCACATGAATAGACCTGACGCTTCCATTACACTTCACAACCTTGCTCTTCCAAAAGCTGTTCTCATTCCGGCTGGAGTGGAGGCCATAGCAACACCACCAGCGGGAGTCGAACCATGGCAGTGCAGCGTGCAATCTTGACCCCTTAACTACTCTACCACATTTCCATGAGTGTCCTTGGGCCACAAGGCAGATGTGAATTTGATGGAATGTCAGGCATTTTCACTTATCCCATTCTTTGGTGGTATTGTCGATGAAGCAAAGTTAAATGTGTTAATACGAAGGGAAAGTTGGTTTCAATGAATCTCCTGAGATGACATTGTTAGTGGGACCTTCATTTATGATGAAAATGCATGAATAAGAGATTACTTGGTCGATCTCACCAGATAAGGACGGATGAAAATCGTTGTACTGCAGCGGTTTGGCTTTTATACGATATTAATATTGACACAGTCCACGAGACTTCCTCCCTCGTTTCGGGTGAAAAAGTGCTAAGCTTTCGTCCGTCATATGATGGACATCATCAGAGCTGGGTTTCATTCTTGTAAAAGTCTCACATTAACACTAAAGCAAGAACACTATCTGGCTCTATCTTACTACTTATATAGACTCAAGTCGATTGTTATAGCAAAACATACGTTTGCTTCATCGACAATTCCACAAAAAACATATGATTTGGCAAAAAGGCATGGCCTTTCTTA